CACGGCCACTGTGTGAGGCCTCGGGTTAGTACAGAACCCCTCGTCGATAACTGATAGGAAGACCGCAGGGCGCTCTTCACCCCGAATAACCCAAGTCACCAACGCTAGGACGGCAGAAGCGAGAAGGGATCCTAGGGTCTTGACAATCATGTTTATAAGCTATATTTACTTATTTATAGTCTTAAGTAATTAGCTAGAGTATAATATTTAAAACTTTACTTAGAACTCAAAATAATTAGCTTATAAATTATAGAAATAAATAAATACCTGTTTATTAGCCAAGAAGTGTTTCTTATAATATATATAAATAATATATAAATAATAGGGCACCTGCATGATATCTAGAAGATATATAATAATATAATAAAATAATTTAATATATTCTTTCTTATAAGCAAGATAATAAGATATATATTAAAGCTAACTAAAATATATATAAAATATATAATATATATATTATAGTTCTTATAGAATATAATTAATAAAGAAATAATATACTTAATAACTAAAGAATTAGTTAAACTAGTAAAAGTACTTAAAGTTATTTTCAGGTATATTAATACTAATTATACTAGCTACTTGAATACCTAATAATCTACTATAAGATATATCTTTATATAAGCTAATAAGTTAATCTCATGATTCTTAAAATAATAAATAATTATGTCTTTTTTTATAACTAAAACTAAGTATTATATAATCTTAGTAGCTAGCTAAAAAGTACTCTAGATTATATATCTTTTAGAAAGTATTAGATTTAGTAATATTTAGCTTATAATTATATTTACTAACTTAAAAATAGTATTAAGCCTGGCTAAGAATTAATAGTTCTACTCTAGGGCTAAATATATAAATATAATAGCTTATTAGATAAGAGAGATTATTTATAATAAAAAGCTTTATTTAGAATATATTTCTAGTAAGAATAATATTACTAATAGACTCACAAAGTCTCTAGAAAAGGGGAAGTTTAACTATTTTATATAATAACTAGATATATAAGAAAAATACTAAGAAATTATTAATATTAGTAGTTTATATGACTCTAAAAGTCTTAGAGGTGACAAGCCAGGGGGTGTATTAATATAATTAGCTTGTCTCTGTTTACACATAACCTATAACTATTATTTTCCCTCTGCAGAGGCTTTGGCAGCTTAGATAGAACAACTAATTCAACCAACTTGTCATTATATGACAGTTTTCATCGTTTCTTTAGCTACGTAATCCTCCCGCCATCAAGGCTTCCTCCAACACATACGAGCAATCCGACAACAACTTCAACGCGTGACTGCGTATAACTAATCACAAGCCGCCCAATAGGATATACTTTCATGTTTGAGACCTAAGCATCGGGAATACATCTTCAAACCTGAGTGGGAGACTTTATTATGTGATCCTTACACCTGTAGTAGATATGTGGATGTCAACCAAATCTGGGGCACGGTCGCCTGGGGTAAAAGAAAGCACAGGTACTATCTATCATCTACTACAAGGAATTTGCCCCGCTTTGCCTATCCGTAAAATTAAGCTTGGGTCTATCTAGTAGGGTGAAGAATGCCTGACCTAGTAGAAATTAGAATGATCTTGGATCTCAATGACTGGTTGTATTGGTTGGTATAGGCGACACCAAAGATGCAGGGGGAGAGAGTCGTGAAGCAAAAGTATCAGTAGGTCTTGGGTGGTGGATGCATCACCTAGGCTATAAGGCTGTGTGGCTCTTTTGAGAAGCACTGATATTATAGTTGATAGGCTGACCCAGAAATGCCAAGCTAAGCCGCAGAGAGGAAAGGCTGTGCTATGGCCTCTGGTATCGCGAGCGGGTGAGGGATTACAAGATCTAACAGGGAAGCTCCTGCTAGCCTAGTGTTCAACCGCAAACACGATTCGAGACTCACAATCATCATACTTTCCTCGGCCTAATCAATCGATAAGAATGGGCAGTCGTGATAGTGGCGTGGTTTGATTTGATAGTGCGTTGTTCAAGGAATGTATATTAGGCTGCTTGCTGGTTAAACGCATTGTTTTGTTCAAGAGATAGGAGGTGGTAAGTCGTGCAGTAGAGTGTCTGATGAGTCTTCAGGGATGGAGAAATTGAGGCTGAAGTGTAGTGTAATCTTCCCTATCAAGATCAGTTTTCTGACAACCTAAGTATCTGCACATTGTCATTTCCCACCACCTTTTACTTCACCGTCCAGGGCGTGGGCTTTTTCAACGACCAATGAGAACCACAATAAACTACGTCTACCCCCGTTAGGGATATGACTACATCGGATTTCGTAGCGTTCGGATGCAGCTTCCACTTGGAAATGCGAACAAAGACGCACACCACCACGAGGTGGTAGGGGCGACCGGGGTCTAATCTTCATTACGTTGGAAGCAACTAGGGTGTACGCTTTAGGGGTACTGGTATCGCCCGTGCGTTTATCCAATTAGAGGGCACTGAGGCACTGCCCGGGGAGCCTCGAGAATGCAAGGCTCGGGTAGGGGCAAACTCGCAGTTGGTGACCGGTGAATCTTGAGGGCAGACCACTGCGAAGGAATCATATCCTAGTATGGCTCACTGGCAGAACTGGCAAACGGATATTGTGGCCAAGTCAAAACGAGCATGTTAAAGCCAGAAGCTAAATATAAATAAAGCTAGCCACACATCAGGCAACTTTCCGCTGTTCATCATATTGTCCCATCTTTATCTTGACTATATCACCAGAAGAGTAATAGAAAACACCCATCCGTGGCCACAGGGTATCACCATGATGGGAATTGACAATAACACCAAAACTCAAGCATATGCGCCTGCTCTAGTTTCGGAGATAGGTTCACAGCCATCGAGCGGAGCCACCACCGAGTATAAACGCCATCCACTGTATTGGCCCAGTGAATGGCTTTGGGAATCAATCAGTTCTATTCTGGCCCTGGGCCTCCTTATCGGCATTGCTATTATCTTCTGGTACATGGACGACAAGCCTCTCTCAGCCTGGCGCGGCCAGGTTTCTCTGAACACGACAATTGCTATCTTGACAACTTCATGCACTGCAGTGTTGATGCACGGGGTTAGCGCTTTTATTGGACAGTCTAAATGGCTTCACTTCAAGGACAGGCCTCGTAAGCTGACTGACTTTGAAGTATATGACGAAGCAAGTCGTGGCCCTTGGGGGGCTATTCAGTTGCTTACCACTGTCAAGTGGAATCTTGCTACTATCGGCGCCTTCATCACAGTCCTGCGGCTTGCCTTCGAGCCATTCACACAACAGGTAGTTTCAATTGAGCAGCGAGACGTCATATCTACCGCAAAAGCCGCAAGCTTTGGATATACACACAGTTACGTCCGGGATACTGATTTTGACCTGTTTAATGCCGGTATTGGTAAGTACCATCAATGTCCCACACAATGAAAACAACAAGTGCAGCTAACATGCTTTTGACTAGAGAGTGTCCGGCAGGATCCTGGTATGGTGTCCGCCATCTTCCAAGGCCTCTATGGCATCAATGTCACAGAGCCTTTCATCTGCCCTGGAGCATGTCGTTGGAAAGAATCATACGTATCACTTGGGTTCAAGGCCAAATGCAGGGATGTCACTCAGGAAACACTGCAGTCAGCCACATGTGGTGAAGACGTTTCCCCGAGGCAATGCAACATGACAACACCAGGTGGACTGCACGTGAGAACTCGTGCTGTAGCTACAGATTCAGCCACAACTTACTACATGAATGCATCGTCACTGCTGAGCACCCGCACAAACTCTGAACTACCGGACACTTTTCCCGAAATTACGCGATTCGCAATCTATAGATCAACCGCGGACAAGAATTTTCGAGTGCACGACGTCAATATCACAGATTGCTCGCTTTACATCACAGCCTATGCATACTCGGATGCCAAGGCCAATGGCAGTGATTTTTTCATTGCAAAGCGGGAGGTTGATTTTGGTGTTCAGAATCCATGGAGTTTCTCAAACGAATCAAGAGAAAACTACTTCGATAACATAAGCACCAGGAAGTCCGAAAGTGGTAACATCCATATTCCTACGCTGGAAATTAGCTATACCACTCTTAGCGCGGTCGAAGTTTTCTTCGAGTCCACGTCAATGGCTAGTGAATGGATTGCAGGGAACTTTATCAATGAGAACATAGGTGTCAGTGCTGCTCTATATGGCGATGTGGACATTAACGACCGGTTCGACAGAATGGCGATGGCCATGACAGACCATCTGCGGTATGGTCCGAATAAACAGACAGCACCTGGAGAGGTTGTTCACCGTGAGCCGTTCGTTTCAATCCGCTGGGAGTATTTTGTTGTTCCTATTGTTGTTGAGGGGCTCGCGATCTTGTTCGCTATCTTGAGTGTTTTCAGCAATCGCCAGAGTCGCCGTGTCCCCCTGTGGAAGTCGTCGGTGCTTGCTGTACTCGCTTGTCAGTATGAGGAGCAGATTGGGCTTCTGAAGACTACGGGCAAGGATACGAACGAGATTGAGGCCGATGCTGAAAAGGCTCAGGCTCAGCTGCAATAATGTCGACTTTGAGGTAATGTACAATTTTATGTCAAAGGTTTTTGTACTAGTAGGCGTAGTACCGCACTGCATCTCGATCAGTACACCCGTATTGTTAGGGTTGGCTTATTGATGATGACCTAGCTACGCCTATATATCTTTCAAATTAAACACTTCTAATGAATTCTCTTTCGAATACCTTTGATTAGGCTTCAACACGGGGCGAATCCGGTTGCAATTTTTCAGTCCGACTCCTGATCATGATTTACTAAATTTCCAGATCAAGAAATTTCATCTGACACTGTGTCACAGTGCTATAGAGAAGATTAGAATTGATTCATTTGTATTATGATTGATATAAACGTATCAAGTGTGTTCCTTTTGGGCCATATAAGATAATCCCTTATCCATATAAGATACTATTATATATATATATATTTCAATTAGTATATTTATGCCACAGGTTATATATATAGATATGCTTAATCTTATAATGAATCAGAAAGCTCATGATTAAAATACATCCAATTCAGCCACAGTTGCACTTTGACCTGCTGCCCATGACCCTTTGACAGTTAGGTTGATATATCTCACCGGATAAACATTTTCAAATCGATTGATTGTAATGTTCGGCTGTCGAATTCGAACCAGTTCAGCTTCCTTGGGCCTGTAAGGTGAAGAAATAGAGACCGCCCCATCAGTTGAAAGGCGAATAAAGTCATTATTTTCAATGACCTTTATTCCCAAGTCGAATGATCGAGGGGGGTTGGGTCCCCAGATGAGATTTACACCGGAGACATTTTGTGGCTGACCAAGGTCGATAATCACTGATGCGACCGTATCTGTTGGCTGCCAATATGTCGAGTTGGAGCCGTCCACCATGGACAACGGGTACATCTGAGAGACAAATTCCGACGTAGATGAAACCGATGTACACGCTGCAAGATTCTTGGATTTGAGGTCCGGCCTTCTGGTGGGAAGTGTGATTGATTGACCCGGTAATAATTCCAATGTCTGATCAGACTTGCCAATTTGGATCAATACTCGCTCATTTGAATCTTCTGCTGACAATCTCCTGCTGATCACGCTATCATTCAAACTTATGGTGACATCCAAAGTTGCGCCCCGCCATTTCAAGCCCTTCACTACCACTCCATGTGGGAGTTGAGGAGGCAAAACAGGGTCGAAATGCAGGTATTCAGAATGCAGTCGCATGCCTGTCAGACCATGCGTAAATATTTGAAGAAAGCCACCAGCTCCGGTGAGGAATGGAAATGCTGGATTAAAGCCGAACGGAAAGGCAGGATTGTCTTCAGACATACTATCCAGTGCTGTTTCACTGAATTGGTAGAATGGTTTGCGGATGTATGGTTCGTAGCTGCGCAGGAGATACGTGTATGCAGCACAGCCCTGGGTTTCGATTTGGGCTTCAGAAATGGCAAACACGGACCACGTCATGGCTGGACCGCCCGGTGTAGTTGTTGCGGAATACTGCAGATGGTTAGCGCAATGATGGACCTTGGATATGGGGTAGCCATGCATAAGAAATATCGTTCTTCGCTTGTTCATGTTGATAACCCAATGGGTAATTAAGAAGAATCACGCTAGCCTGCTTCACAACCCAGTCACCTGGCATTCCCGTAAACCCCAGAGTGATATCTTTTTGATCGTTGAGAGGCATCTCGATGTTTTGTACGATCTGACTCCAGTTCTTGGGAACTGATTGGTTTAGTAAACGAGCTGCTGTGGGAGCCCATTCGCCTAGAAGTTGGGCAATTCCCGCATTGGTAAACGCCCCGTTGTCTTTGAAGTAGGCAAATTCGTCCTGTTGATTAGTGGACGAAAGTGAATTTAGAGGGAATTCCTTACTGGTTCACCAAGCAGAATAGTCTCGTATTTTCCAGTTGTTTGATTCTTCTTCACGTATGCTGCGAACATGTCTGCAACGCCTTTGATCACAGGATACGCCGTCTCGGCCAGCCATGTTAGATTGTTTGACTGTAGAAAATAATTCCACAGGGACTGAGCAATATCGGTATTCAAATGATACTGATAGTCTTTACACATTCCAGTTCCTGTACAGTTTCCAAACCTGCCACTCGTCCACGGATATAATGCACCAGCGTAGCCGTACAATTTAGCATTGTCAATTGCCTGGCCGAGTAGCCGTGACCGATACTTCAGGATTGTGACGGCACTCTGAGGGTGGAGAGCTTGTATGGCTGGATAGATCCAGGTATCAGCATCCCAAAAGACTAAACCGGCATAAGAATCACTAGTCAATCCTCCGACATGAATAGAGTTCGCCAGCTCTATCGTATTGGGCAGATTCGTAAGAATCTGGAACAGCGATGCCCGCGCGGCCCGCTGTAGCTCCACATTCTCGGGGATGATAATGTCACTGTCATTCCATGTTTGATCCCAGGCGTTGGTGTGCTCTCGCAGTAATAGGTTCCATGGGATGCTTCTCGCCTGGAGAGCAGAAGACCTTGCTATCAAACTTGCACTTTGCCCAAACGCGTCGGATGAAGCGATCCCGACGAATTTGTAGATAGTGACCTGGTCTCCCCGCTTGAGGTCTACTTTCCATTGCTGCGCGATCGTGCTAGCGTTCGTCGAAACCCGAGGAGGATTTCCTATCTTTGTCGATATTGGGTCAGGATTTACCCCGTCGAATCGAATGGTAGAAAATATGTGAGCGGTCACGTTGGAAATTCCGTATGGCTTGACACTTGTCCAGATCGAGTCACCTCTATCAAAACCCTTCGACTCAAACTCAGAGCGGACTGCGCCTGCTCCATCCAGAAGATCGGTAACCTGCACGGTGGTGTCATCATGCACGGCGATATCTAGACGTACTAGACCGAGCGTAGCTCTGGTGCGATGCGCAAGAATCGTGTAATTCAAGTGGAAAGCTGTATTACTCGGCGGTTGCCAAGTAACATTGGTTTGCACAATCCCATTCTGCGCCGACATACATTGACGATAACGTCGCACTGTTGATGAATCGACACCTGGACGATAGATATTCCCGTCCGCAGTGGTGAGAAGCAACCCAGTCCAATCGGGAATCCCGCTGATCACAGACTCACCACCGCGACGGAGATTCTCTGGACTGGCAAAATGAGTGGTGTTCTCCTGCAGGTTCCAAAACCCCGACACAGTGCCAAATGTTGCTCGGGGCTGATCAAGGGGCCATGCTGCGAGCTGTCAGGGCGATATTGCGCTGGTCGGTCCGTGGGAGAAACATACAGTTGTTTGTGAAGCTACCATTTTCCCCTCGCTGAACCCAGTATCCCATACCTTCCGAGGGCAGGGTCTGGCCAAAATAGCCATTGGAGACGTATGGGGCTGTTTGGTAGTGATTCGGGAGAAAGGAATCCGTGCAAAGCATCCATTCTGCATCGTCATGGCGTGACTGGCTGCGCGCAGTGATGGGGATGGAGGCTTGGTGTGATAGAGATTCAGCGAACAGCCATCGTCTGTCGTGGAGATCATAGATGATAGCCAATAGAATGATGAGAAATATGGACAACTGCATTGTGACACATGGAGAATAATCCGGAAAGAGGGGGAAGAGGGGGAAGAGGGGAAGAAAGGATGCATTAATAGCCCGAATCCTGCAGCAAGACGCAGGGTACGCAGGGAACGGCACGACTCGAGCCATGATGGAGAATTAGCGGGCTATACTTGAATGAGCTAATTTCGGTCAACAAAAGTACAGCCCTTATAATTATAACACAACTGGGATAGCAAAAACTTTTGAACTCATAATCTAATAAGAGACAGTCACCAAAATTCGACAGAATGATTGCTGAGATCACCCTTTGGGTCCTCTCTGCGTGGGCATTGAAGAGTATTATCTTGTTTGCTTTTCAAAACGGCCTCTTGAAGTTTCTCGAACAAACCCAAAAGAACATGTCCTTTCCAAACGGCGTTCCAATCTGCCTTCATCTGAGTGGTATTGGCTGGTTCGATCAACGATTGAAAAATGTCCTGGGTTTTATATGGCCCTTTGCCGCCGGCCACAGACCCGACTTATCGCTGGTCGGATTAGCCCTTGTTGGGGCCTTTGGGTCTACATGGTTTCTGGTTGTTATGGAGAGCTTGAGAATTGGTAATCAGGGCACATGGGCCTCTCAGTATGGTTTTCCCGCCTTGTTGGTCGTCGCCGAAGCTAATTTGGTAGTATTATGATTCCGGGGATCTTCATATTCGATCACTCTCAAGGCCTCATGATGCCACTTTACTTCTTGTTTCACTTATATTTTGTGCCAGAAGGAGCCTCGCTTATTATTGACTCAATCGATGCTCGGGCGATTATGGCCAGCTTTGTGGTGGGATATCTACTGCCCATCGGTGCTCATGCACTCCCCGCACCATCCATGATAACTGTCGCTCGGAAACAGACTTTGATCGGCTGGTACCAACTGTGGCATATTTATATCTTCGTCTGTCATCTTGCCTTTGCCAAAGTCATTGGGCAGTTTTTCGACCCGGTCAGCACACCTATTTGGTACCATCGCTTCATGTACCTGTTTGCCTTTTCTTTAGCGGCAGTCCCGCATATCTGCGTAGTGTTTCTGAGCACTTTAGCTGCGATTTATCCTGGACTTTTTGCCAAAGATGCGGCTAGGAGAATGCATCCCCGCAATGTGTTCAGTCTGACATCCCCATGGTCAGGAAAGAAAGCACCGTCTATGGATGAAGGCCTGAAGTGGTTGCTGCAGTGGGACGTTTTGATTAGCTCTCTAGCTGTTTTATCTTGGTCACTGACTCTGCTCGTGCGATGTCGAATGATGTTTGACCAGCCTGTTCATTGGGGCTCACTGGTTGCTAAGATCATACTAGCGAGTGTTGTTTCATCTCCGGCGGGAGCGGCAGTTCTTTTGATGTGGGAGCGCGATGAGATGGTTCTCAGTATGGTGTCAGATTGAAAGACGAATAGGTAGTATTAGATCAATCTATTATGCGTAGCACACTGCTATTTCTGATGTAACTTCCCCATTCGCGGACGCAACTCCAATTTGATATCACGGATAGGACCCATTATTCCCAAAGCTCGTGGATTGGGCTTGAATGGCTCCTGGAAAGGTTTGACTCTAAGTTCGAAACGAAGAAGGAATGTGGCAGCAATCAAGAGGGTCTCCTGCTCTGCCAAGAATCTCCCAGAGCAGATACTGGATCCTCCGCCAAATGGCCGCAAACTCGAGTTTTGTCTTTGGTCCCCACCACTAATCCAACGATCGGGGTCAAACTTGGTCGGCTTTTCGAAAATGTCTGGATTATAATGCATTAACTGCACAGGGAGGAAGACCAAACTCCCCTTATGGAGGATGAATCCTTCGAGTTGTTCGTCTTTCTGTAGGACCCGCGCTGAAGCGCTCGTTGATCCGAGCCGGATGGTTTCTTTCCAAAAGCCCTGGACCCAGGGATCCGATTTTAATTTAGTGATGTCGAATTCGAGCATATCACCACTGCAACCTTTTACAACTGCCTCTGCTTTTGATCGAAATTGCTCCATGTATACTGACGACTCGAGAAGATTCATCAAAAAAGTCGTTGCCAACGGGCCTACATTTGTCATCGAACTAAAGTCGCACGGTCAGTTGTGCATTCAAGAGTCCGGAAGATCGCGACAACTCACACCCATAAAAACGACAGATGCGAGCAGGAGCGACCTCGAGGGGTGATTCCATGGTCGCGATGCAATCGTTCCCGCTCCCAGTTGAGCTTCAATCCCCATTCTTCGCACCAGATTTCATGCCCACCGGGCCATTCCTGCACGGCGGTGTCGATCCAGCGATCAAAAGCAAGTAAAATTCTCTCTCGCGCCTGCCATGCTTGCCGATTTAACTGGAATGGGAGGCTGGTGCGTACTCCTGCGTAGAGGGTATCATCTAACAGGCGAAAGTCCTCCGAGAAACCGGGGTAGTCTTTTTGAATGCGTGTTCCAAAAAAAGTGGTCACGGATGTTGCAAACACTAAGCGTCGCATTTCTTCAAAGACGAAGATATTCCTCTTCTCCATGCGAGGTACTTTGACTTTATCATCCACATAGTTAGCAAGATTCACCTTGTAGACTTTCATAATAGAATCCAGATGTTTTCCCGTCAAAAAGCGAATGTATGCATTGTGAATTAGGTCTTGAAATGGCTTGCTCCCATTTTCCGACTTGAACGTCCCCTGGTAAATGTGTGTGTCCTGATTTGGTAGGTCAAGTCCATTTTGCATCATCGATGCTACAATCGGAGAGAAATCAAAGTCTCGCGACCGGCCAAAAATCGTGGATGCGGATTCCACAGAGTCAAAGACGTGGAATTTCGTCCCCATCATAACCAAGCTGAATGGAACACCAGGATATTTTTTACTGAATATATCAGCTTTGTGATCCTGAGCCGTCTTCTCTTTTCATACCGAAGATTTTGCACAAGTCCCCCGGGATCCCTGAAAAACTCAAAAACATGGCCGAAATATGGAATCCAGTACGGTGCAACCGGGGGCTCCTGCAGAGCTGGTGGTGGTTTCCATACTGATAGTGAAAACGCCAACAGCCCAGTAACAAAGACGAGTAGAAGTGCCCCTATTAGAGCTGTGTCAAGGTAAGTTCCCTGCTCTATGAAGTGGAAGAGTTCAGCCAACATTGTCTGTGTACAGCATAGGTCGCTAGTAAGAAACATCAGCTCTGGACTTGACTGACCCGCGGTCAAGTGGCTGTGTTGACCACTATTTCATAATTTCAGTCCGCATACATTCATAGAGGGGACCCATAATTTCTGCTTATCGGGTTACACCTGGTTGATTGAAGAATCAATTTTGGATGGATTGCATACCCTGAAGGCCAAGAGTATCGTGGCATAGTTTCACTGGCTGCAATTTCCGAGCTCCATGATTGTTAAATTGAAGTTGACGTTGGATGTCTCAGACGGTCAGTATTCTACTGGATTATATGAAATGCTCCACTGTCTACATTCGGGTTTGCACCGTGCTACACAAATGATGCATTGCCTTCGCTTGTACGCAATCACCACCACCACGCATATACACTCATTTATATCTCTTGTTGAAGGTGACTTCCAGACAGATCACCAGATAATTCACCATGAAGATTCTGTGTCTCCACGGAAGGGGCTCCAACAATGATGTAAGTTGTGTGTCTCGACCTCCATGTAGAGTTCAGCTAACAACGCCGGATTGGTTATACTAGATCTTTCAACTTCAAACGGGTAGGTCAGTTTCTCGAGTGAATTTGATCGAGCTAACTCTCTCCAAAGCTGCTTTCAGATCAGAATTGAATGATTTTGCCTTTGAATATGTCCAAGGGACCGTGCCACACACTGAAGGTTCGCGGGGAAACGTGAAGCGGGGATCCATGCAGCGAACTAATTCGTTAACCACGCGATAGGCAATTGGTCTCTGTATACAGCGGCATTTCCAGATACACCACTGTACGGGTACTATAACCCTTTGCAGCCGGCTTCGGTTACCCAAGCGGAGGACGATTTGCTTCAATTGATCGAGCAAGAAGGTCCTTTTGACGGCGTCTTGGCCTACTCCGGTGGAACCGCGCTGGCCGCTCAGATTATCATCCGAGACAGTCAGAAAAATGCTTTCAGTTTGCCCGATGAACGACCGTTCCGATTTGCTATCTTCATCAATGGAGTCACCCCCTTGAAAGTTATCCCTGCTCAAGAAGTCAAGGGCGAATCTTTAGACCAGTCTAACGATTCTTCACTGGCGATGGAAGAGGTATCAAATCTGTTATTGAGGGATTCGGCTACCAGGGTGCGCAAGAAGCGGTCCGAGTACGACACCTATGATCCCGCCGCCATTAAACAGGATATTGCTTCGCTGGAATCCCGAGTCACTCTTGATGGCCGACCGTGTTTATCAAACGGAATAGAGGCAATCACTAGATACCATGCGGATCTGGATGGTGTTCTCATTGATATCCCCACTCTCCATGTCCGCTGCTTGGAGGAGGTAGATGAAGACCATGGTTTAAATCTTACCAAGTTGTGCGAGTCCGAATTGGTCACGGAATACTTCCACAAAAATGGTGAAGATTTTCCTCGCGGCCATACAGAGATGAAGAGGATCGCACAGTTGATTCGGGGAACAGCAGAACGGGCATAGACGATGCTACTACTAAGTGAGGAGTCAATCCTTCGAACCAACTGGGATGTCTATTCGGGCATTAGTAGCCAATCAGATTTTTGACGCAAATTACCACCATGCTTACTTGTATCATGACTCGAGTGTTGGTGATATTGTGTAATCCGTCTTGATTCTTATTTTCAACGATTATTATTCTCTCAAATGTCGTATTGCGGAGCTCCATCGGAGAGGCGCGCTACTCCAAAACTCCGATCCCTTGTCTTTATCTGGATGCACTAGTCATACGTGTTGCTAAAGGTGGATAACATCGCCAGCCATCCAAATAGGTAGCGCGCGCGGGCTTTGAGTATTTAAGTGGTTAATCCACCTTGAATGGGTAAATGTCGACGATTTTCTTTTTCAATAACATATCATTGCAACCTGACAACAATTTCAACATGGGCTCCATCGATACTAAAGATGGGTATGACACCCCGCCACTCAACATGGAACCTCTTGCAGTCGTTGGCATGGCCTTTCGAGGCCCTCAAGAGGCGACAGACACTGAAAGATTATGGGACTTTCTTCTCAGAGCCCGACAAGCAATGGCGCCGTTTCCCTCTGAAAGAATGAACGCAGATGCTTTCTGGCATCCTGACCCAGAGCACGGTGGCACGGTATGTGTATCAAGTGCTAAGAACGCGGGTGCCATTCTATACTGAATGACCTTTAGTTCCATAATGTCGGGGGTAACTTCCTGGAGGAAGACCCAGCATGCTTTGATTACACCTTCTTCAATGTCATCAAGACAGAGCTCTTGACGCTGGACCCGCAACAACGACTTGTCATGGAAAACGTCTACCATGCTCTCGAAAATGGTATACTTCTGTGTCCATGATGTATAATTACAGGAAATGCTTACGTTAGTAGCTGGCCTTCCGATGGAGAAGATAGTTGGGTCTAGGACCGGAGTCTATGTGACTGGATTTAATCACGACCATCTTGCAGTTTTGAATGCGGACTTGGAGAGCGCTCTCAAATATAAGGTCACAGGAGTGTCGAACTCGATTATTTCCAACAGAGTGAGCTGGTTCTTTGACTTCAAAGGTCCTAGTTTGACAGTCGATACTGCGTGCTCCAGTAGCATGGTTGCATTGCACCTGGCAGCACAAAGTCTGCGGAGCTCCGAGAGTGATATAGTATGACTCGACCGACCCCCGTATTTGTTTGATATGTCTCGATTAACAGTACCAGGCAATTGTCAGTGGTGTAAATATCATGGAGTACCCTGCAGACATCATCGCAGAGAGTCATCATGGTTTTCTCAGTGCTGACGCCAAGTGCTTCAGTTTTGACCACAGAGCCAACGGATACTCCCGTGGTGAAGGTGTTGCGAGTATTATCGTCAAACGACTCTCTTCTGCTCTGCGAGATGGCGATACTGTCCGTGCTGTTATCAGAAACACGGGCGTCAATCAAGATGGTCGCACACCAGGTATTACCAACCCTAGCGCTGTGGCACAAGAAGCCTTGATCCGTCATGTCTACCGGGAGGCTGGCCTCAACCCGAAGGACACGGCCTTCGTCGAGGCACACGGCACTGGGACCGCGGCTGGTGATCCTGTGGAGGCCAGTGCAATCGCTAAAGTGTTTGGCTCGTCCCAGGAAGATGCAGTTTACATAGGAGCACTCAAATCTAATGTCGGGCATTTGGAAGGTGGCTCCGGAGTTGCGGCGGTCATCAAAGCGATATATATATTGGAGAATGCTATGATCCCCCCGAACCAGAACTTTGAGAAGATCAACCCTCGCATCCCAGTGGGAAAATGGAACATTAAATTCCCCCTGCAGCCCATTGGTTGGCCTCGAAAATCAGGACTTCGTCGAATTTCAGTCAACTCGTTTGGTGTCGGAGGAACAAACGCTCATTGTGTTATGGACGATGCCTACCACTTTCTTCAGGATACCCGACTAACCGGCAACCATAACTCTACTGCCGTTATCCCATCGCAGCAAGAAATTGATCGACTAATCAGCGCAGCTCACGCACGGTATCAGGGTTTGGCAAGCGACCTATCGTCCCACGACAGCAGGACCTCCACCAGTGATGGCCTCTCGGAGTTTGAATTGATTGGCCCGAATGAAAAGGAATCTGACAGCAAGGGCAACGCTCTCTTATATTCACTCTCTGCATTTGATGAGGAAGGAATCGACCGCGTTGCTGCAGATATACGCAGCTATCTGATTCAAAAAAGACGGAGTGAGGCCGATGGGAAAACAACTGACAACCTCAGTGGCTTGGCATACACGCTGTCCAATAAGAGATCGGTTCTACCATGGAAGAGCTTCGTGGTCGCTGACTCCTGGGGAGAGCTCGTGAAAAGACTCTCGGATGGAATATCGAAGCCTCTTCGTTCACGCAATACTCCTCTGGTCGCATTCGCGTTTACTGGTCAAGGTGCACAACACTTTGCCATGGGACGGGAGCTGTTGATTTATCCCACCTTTCGGAAGTCATTGGAAGATGCGACGGAATATATGAAGTCGCTGGGAAGTCCATGGTCTCTTCTTGGTAGGTGATGATCCTTTGCTCGATGATTCCATGACAGGTGACTCTATACTGACTTATCAAAGATGAGCTTCTCAAAGATAAGGAAGCTTCTCGAGTGCATTCGCCGGAGATCGCTCATCCCTCGTGTGTTGCTGTACAGGTGGCCGTTGTTGATCTCCTCGCCAGCTGGGCCATTTTTCCAACACGAGTGATAGGACACTCATCGGGTGAGATTCCAGCCGCTTACGCAGCCGGCAAATTGTCTCGGGAGGCAGCTTGGAAAGTAGCATATTACCGTGGAGAAGTTTCTGCCAAGCAACTCTCTGCTAAAGGGGCAATGCTAGCGGTCGGGTTGAATGAAGAGAAGCTTCAGCCTTATCTAACGAGAGTGCGCAACGGACGCACAGGTGAGCTAGTCATCGCATGCTACAACAGCCCCAATAGCCAAACTGTCTCCGGAGATGAGGGGCTAGTGGATAGCCTCATGGCAGACCTGGTTGCAGATGGCCACTTCGCCCGAAAACTTCGCGTGCAAAATGCATACCATTCCTCTCATATGAAAGAAGTGGCGGAAGACTACCTTGACTGTTTGGGTAGTTTGACTAATCCACCCCAAAATCCACCGCATGAAACCCACATGTTCTCATCTCTAACCGGAAAGAGAGTAGAGGCCACTAGTTTGGACGCACAGTATTGGGTAGACAACCTTGTGTCGCCTGTTCGATTTACTGACGGCCTTGCTGGTTTATGTTTGGACCCCATTTCACACGGCCAGGGGTCTCTCAAAGTGAACTCCAAAGTGGATAAGGTCTTCGTCGATCAGATCGTCGAAATTGGCCCTCACAGCGCCTTGCAAGGTCCAATCAAGGAGATCATCGCTGCCAATAGCGTGAAGTCTCCCGTTGAATATTTGCCCATTCTAAATCGGAACAATCCTAGTATTGAGGTTCTTCTAGGGTCCATCGGGAAGCTGTACACCCGGGGCTGTCAGATTGATATTGATATTGTCAACCGGGCAGCTCGACCGACGGAGAAGGCCCATCCCATGATGCTAACGGACCTGCCACCCTATCGTTTCAATCATTCCGATAAAACCTTGTACATAAGCCGACTGGCCAAAAACATCCGTTTCAGAACGGCTCCTCGTCATGATCTTCTTGGTGCCCCGGTTCCTGATTGGAATCCCCAGAATCCTAAGTGGAGGAACTTTTTCAGGCTCGATGAGCTTCCTTGGCTGCGGGACCACGTGGTAGGTTGAACCAGATTCAAGATTTAATCACTCGCCGAGGTAAATTCTGACTTATACATGCACTAGGTCACCGATAATTTTGTGTACCCTGGAGTAGGGTATCTTATCATGGCCATCGAAGCAGTGAAACAACTGGCCGAGTCAGGGTCACAGATCCTTCGCTTCAGGTTTAAGAACGTGGCCATCAAAAAAGCTTTGATTATCCCAGATAGTAAAGATGGCATTGAGACGACCATTTCCCTAACTCGGATGGACGAGACGAGCCTGTGGGGGTCGTCTGTATGGAGGCGGTTCGAAATTCTGTCGTACAACCCCGGTGGTGACGACTGGATAGAACACTGCACGGGATATATCTCGGTTGAATTGGAGAACAAAAAAGGACTACTGGATGGTGACCGAGAAGCCAAAGAAGAAGCAGCAGACTGGCAGGCCCTGTGGAATGAAGCTTCACAGTCATGCCAGGTCCCCATGGATTTCAAAAAGACCTACGACAATCTACAAACAGCTGGTCTCGCCTTCGGGCCACTTTTCCGAAATGCATCGAATGTCAAGACAGGGAACCATAACGAAGGAATTGTTACAGGAACAGTAACTGTCCCCGATATCAGCCAGGTGATGCCGAAGAACTATTTGCACCCGCACCTCATTCATCCCGCCACTATGGACAGCATGATTCATCTCCTGATCGGTGCCGTTGTAGATGTGACCAACAATAAGGGCACTCTGGAGAAGCCGGCCGTGCCGACATTTATTCGGGAGGTCACAATATCTGCGGATATCGATTCGACCCCAGGAACTACATTCTATGGCCGTGGGAAAGCGGGCTTGATCGCATACGAGAAGTTTGAGTGTGATGTCAAAGTTTGGAACGGAAAGACCAATCAAGGATGCATCTCAATTGATGGTCTCCGTTTGACTCCACTAGACTCTGGCGATAATACGTCAACGCAAGTCCGAAAATTATGTCACAGCTTGGTCTGGCAGCCCGATGTCAACTTCTTAGACACCGAATCGTTCTTGAACCTGGTTGAGGTTCCTAACTCGGATGACGAGTTGGATCGCTTTTGGAACAGTAGACATCAAGCAGCAGTTTTGTTGATGGTGACAGACGCACTCAAGGAGCTAAAGGACTTTCCCAAAGATTCACTCGAAGGCCACTTCCGTCGCTACTATGACTGGTTGGAATACCAGGCGGGGGAACTGCACGCTAATCGGATCAACGGCCTGCCTCTTACCTTG